TTGTCTCTCGTTTATTCTGCCTCCCTCTCCCACCTTGTCTCTCGTTTATTCTGCCTCCCCTCCCCACCTTGTCTCTCGTTTATTCTGCCTCCTCTCCCCACCTTCTCTCGTTGCTATGTTTTGCCCCGTCCCCTCCCCTCCCTCCCCTCCCTCCCTCCTCACTTGTCATTTCTCTCCGTCCCTCCACCTTGTTCCCATTTCTCTCCCTCCCCTCCCCACCTTGTTGCCATTTCTCTCCCTCCCCTCCCCACCTTGTTGCCATTTCTCTCCCTCCCCTCCCCACCTTGTTGCCATTTCTCTCCTCCCCTCCCCACCTTGTTGCCATTCTCTCCCTCCCCTCCCCACCTTGTTGCCATTTCTCTCCCTCCCCTCCCCACCTTGTTGCCATTTCTCTCCCTCCCCTCCCCACCTTGTTGCCATTTCTCTCCCTCCCCTCCCCACCTTGTTGCCATTTCTCTCCTCCCCTCCCCACCTTGTTGCCATTTCTCTCCCTCCCCTCCCCACCTTGTTGCCATTTCTCTCCCTCCCCTCCCCACCTTGTTGCCATTTCTCTCCTCCCCTCCCACCTTGTTGCCATTTCTCTCCTCCCCTCCCCACCTTGTTGCCATTTCTCTCCCTCCCCTCCCCACCTTGTTGCCATTTCTCTCCCTCCCCTCCCCACTTGTTGCCATTTCTCTCCCTCCCCTCCCCACCTTGTTGCCATTTCTCTCCCTCCCTCCCCACCTTGTTGCCATTTCTCTCCCTCCCCTCCCCACCTTGTTGCCATTTCTCTCCCCCCCTCCCCACCTTGTTGCCATTTCTCTCCCTCCCTCCCCACCTTGTTGCCATTTCTCTCCCTCCCCTCCCCACCTTGTTGCCATTTCTCTCCCTCCCTCCCCACCTTGTTGCCATTTCTCCCATCTCCCTCCCCCGTGTCTTTTCCTCTGCTTCTCCTCCTCCTCCTCCTCCTCCTCTGTCTGAAACTGCCCCCTGCCTCCCTCTTGTAAGTAGCTACTTTGTCCTTCCTCCCCTCCCTTTCTCCATTTCCCTCTTATCTGCTACTCCCTCTTCCTTCCATTTATCTCCTTTCATCTCATTCAATGCTTAGTATGTAAATATTGTAGGTAAATTGGATAGGTGAATTCTGAGATACTTTTAAAGTTTTTAAACAATAATTTTACGTTCAACAAGCCTGAGCAGAGTAGTTTTACTGTTTTCTTTGCTAGACGCAAAATTATAGAATCCACCTACATGAAACAAATGCCAGATTTATCTGTGCAGAGGGGTTACATGACAGAGCTGAAGGGATTTACAATGTGACCTTGAATTCATTAATCTATTTACATTGTGGCTCTTGTATTCTTAAAACTGTCATTTCATTTTTTTTCTTTTTACCTCCTTTTCTCAGTATGGGCTTTCTTCTCACTCTCACTTTCCTAAAACCTTTTCACTCAAGTTTATTTCCTCTCCTTCCCTCTTTCTTTGCCTCCAAATGTACCTACATCTAAAATTATACCTGTCCCCTTGTTTCCTGCCTCGTGCCTATCCAAAATGGGTGGTCTCCCTTATCCATGTATTGTATGCACATCAGTAAAGTTTCAAGATTATGGTGGGTGTTTAATGAGCTTGCTTTTGATTTTGAAGATGTTGCTCCTTAGATTACCTGGGATACTCAATTATTCATTGCTAAGTTTTGTTTTTAATGCAAGTTTTATATAACTGTTATATTGTGTTAATAACTTTTAGGGCACTTGTATCCTGTTTAGACAAATTGGTATAATAATTTCTCCATGTACAGAAAGTTTTGTAATCTATTACTATAAATTGTATTGATCTATGTATATCATATATAATTTCATTAACCTGCTGGCACTAGGAGTGCATGTATATATGCAGTGTCCACTGTTATATTTTGATTAAACATTGATGGCTTCAGAAGGACTGTCATGGAGGCAAATACCAGGAATAATTGACCCCACCAATGAACCCCAATCCTTGATCATTAGGAAAGGATAGCTTTTTTGTTGATGTAAGAAAGACAATAGTAACTGAAATCTTACCCCCTAAATTCAAGGAATGGTTAAATGAGATCAGGTAGGCCTAGCATTTTAATTCGTAGGTGAAAATGCTAGTAAAACCACTTGTATATGAAAATCAATGTAGTAAATCACAGTGGATGATGCGTGCTCTTGTCAATGGGTTTATATCAAGCAAGGAAAACAAATGTACTTTATGCTTTAGAAATCCCATGAATACATGAACAGCAGTACATGGAGAACTCCCTTTCCCCTCTCCTTTTGGCCCTTCCACCTTCTTTAGCCACTTCTAAATTTACTTGTAATTTGTTTGTTGGCTGAGTCAAATCATTTTCTCCCTCTGCCTCTCCCCCCCTCTCCCTCCCCAATATATGCATGCAATGCTTTTAACTTGCTCTAGAGTACCAACACAACCCAAAATATTTTTATGCAGAATTGGATGGAATGTACTTATGATTGTGGATGTACAAGGTCAAATTACAATAATTGATAAAGTATTTAATTTCCTTATAATTTGATGAGAAACCTTTTTGAAAAGATTTCACAGCTTGAATGTTTAAAACCTTTTCATTGGTCATGGCAGTGCATTCATACACTTGAATGGTGTGTTTCTGCTCAAGCTGTTTGCATTGTGAATTGTTGGAATATATATATATTTTAAATCCCTTCATAAGATTGCCTTAAACTGTAGACTGATTATGGTTAAAAGAAATGCTTGAATCAAGTTAGATTTCATGAGCCACTAGTTTTCTAATGTGCAAGTTTAAGAAGACCCAATTTCAGCCCTGTGTAATGATTGATTGTAATATCACTTTGCAGTTAAGTGATTACTTTAATCACTTGAAGACAAATTTGTCCTGTAAAGTGTAAAGGGAAAATTAGGTAAAGGTAATTATACTTTAAATTGATGGAATAGTCAATAAATTTATACATTTAAATGTCCAGTTAACTTCTTATTCTAGCTAAAGACCATAAAGGAAGACACACATTCCTTGAATAAAGATGAAAATTTAATCAGCAAAAACTCCTACAATATTCTAGATGTTATAACTTTCTAAAAGTATACTTCCGTTGTAATGTGTGCATTCATGGGAGGGGGGGTGATGTATACCAGCCTGTATAATACACAGCCTGTATACAAAAGTATGACTGAGCTAGGTCTCCGTGTGTAATACGCATGCAAGTATAGGTGATTGTGCAGTGTACCCAAAACTTGTGCACATATTACACACAAATACTTAATATATGTAGATAGTACACATGAATGCATACTTTGTGCATGTATATTACAGTATGCACATGATACGTTGTGTACGTGGTGTGTGGTGTGGTGTGCACGCGTGTGCATGCAGTTGCTTGTGCACTCCTTGTAGTCCATGTGTGTTCATGCACATAGGCTTGCCACAGTACATAGTCCATAGTGTGTGCACATACACGTGTAAAGCTTGCGCAGTCCGCCTGCTGGTGTGTGTGCGCGCGTGCAGGTGTACAAGCTTGCCTGCCCACAGTCCATAGTGTTTGTGTACGCGCAGGTGTATAAGCTTGCACATGCTTAATCCATGTGTGTATGTGTGCACACATGCAGGAGCACAAGCTTGCATGCACACAGTCCATAGTGTTTGTGTACGTGCAGGTGTATAAGCTTGCACATGCTTAGTCCATTATGTGTATGTGTATGTGTGCGCAAGCATGCACACAAGCTTGTGTACATAGTCTATAGTGTGTGTGTGTGTGTGTGTGTGCACATGTACAAGCTTGTGTAACATAGTCCATAGTGTGTGTGTGCGTACATGCACGGCACAAGCTTGTGCACACAGTCCATAGTGTGTGCAAGCATGTATGTGTGTGTGCGTACAAGCATGCACGCGCACATAGTCCATAGTGTGTGTGTGTGTGTGTGCGCACAAGCATGCACGCGTGCACAGTCCATAGTGTGTTTGTGTGCGTGTGCGCGGCACAAGCATGCATGCGTGCACAGTCCGTAGTATGTGTGTGCGTGTGCACACAAGTATGCATGCGTGCACATCAATCCATAGTGTGTGCATGTGCACAAGTATGCATGCGTGCACAATCCATAGTGTGTGCATGTGCACAAGTATGCATGCGTGCACAGTCCATAGTGTGTGCGTGTGCATGTGCACAAGCATGCACGCATGCACTGTCCATAGTGTGTGTGTGTGTGCACAAGCATGCACGCATGCACTGTCCATAGTGTGTGTGTGTGTGTGCACGCGCGTGTGCACAGGTATGCATGCCCACACAGTCCATAGTGTGTGCGTGCACAAGCATGCACGCGTACACAGTTCATAGTGTGTGTGTGCTTGTGCACAAGCATGCACGTGTGCACAGTCCATAGTGTGTGTGTGTGCGCATGTGCATGTGCACAAGCATACACGCGTGCACAGTCCATAGTGTGTGTGTGCGCGTGTGCATGTGCACAAGCATACACGCGTGCATAGTCCATAGTGTGTGTGTGCATGTGCACAAGCATGCACGCGTGCACAGTCCATAATGTGTGTGTGTGTGTGTGCGCGTGCGCTCTCAAGCATGCACTCGTGCACAGTCCGTAATGTGTGCGCGTGCACATGCAGTAGTACAAGCTTGCGTACACACATAGTCCATAGTGTGTGTTTGTATGTGCATAAGCTCAAGTTAGAGCATGTACATATGGCAGTGTGTGGGGGCGTTTGCACACTTTCCAAGTACATAACAGGATTGTTTTAGTATCAAGGATTTTGATATATTAAGGTCTTGGCAGGGGTTCATTATGAATGTTGAATGTTTGCTGCATTGTGTATATTCTTCACCTTAATCTTTAGTAATGGAACTAGTGGAAAAAATCATTAGCTCTGGTGTTCCATTGTCCTTGATATTGCTGAGATTTGTGATTTGTTGCCCCAATGTAATAGCTATAAGATTATAAAAAGTACCGTGATTGCTATGATTGACCAAATCTGTAACCCTTTTGTTTCTCATTGATTACAGGTTATCCGATGCAAGAAAGGGAAGGCAGGAATGCACTGCATGAAGACGTTGCAAGCAGTCCTGATAGCCATGTTCGAGGACCCTATTCAGCCCCCACAGGTGGCTTCTATTGTAGAGTCACTAGGGGAGTACCTTATCTCCATGACTTATTGAGGTAAGTTTGATTTCATAGCCTTTATTTATTTGTGGAGTAAGACCTGCTGTAGTTAGAATTTAAGCGTGCTCTTTGGATCTTGTGAACTTGAATTTGCTTTGAATATGTAATGATTTTTTGGTGTGATTTTACTAGATATTTAGTTTGTATTTTTTCGTTTTGTTTCAGTGAATGAAGACTTCGTGAATATCACTATCTTCATTGGAGCTTCATGGCAGTGGGTGACATGTGATAAACCAGTGTTGACCAGTGTTTGACGGTGACTTGAACATGTGTTCCATCTTGATAAAAACTTGGCTACTCAATCAGAAAAAATAAAAGATGAAAAAAGTGGAAACCCATGTATTTTTTGTTTTTCTTTGGATAATACCAGCAACATTTTAGGAAAGGCTTGGCTGTCACACCAGTGTTTATGTATGTATGTAATGTATTTGACGTCGGAAAGGGTTCTATGAAATGAATATACTTTCGCGTTTAAAAAAAACACCTTTGTATAATAAATTTTTTCCATGGACATTTTATTATTGCAGCTTTTTGTGAATTAACTTGCACTCTTATATAAGTGATGGTTTGCAGCTGATGGTTTTTGCAACTATTAGTGAAGTGGCTAGCCTGTGTATATTTGCGAGCATTTAGTGGTAGGGAGACGGATGATCTGTTAACCTTGTCCTTATAATCCTGATAATTTTGTCTTCCTCTGCTTTCAATCTCCAGAACATACCTCTTGACAAATTGCCTTTTTCAGTCTTGCCTCCATCTCAGTATTTTCCTCATCCTCAACTCCCACACTCCAACATACTTGTGTGAGTGTCTAGTCTCTGCTAGCCACTGATCCCAGTGTTGATTTTTTGTTTTATTTTTTTATATTAAATTTGTTCCTAAATGAAATTTAAAGTTTCCTGTACCCAACAGCTGTAAATGGAAACTATTAAATGGAATAAGCATTCCTTATCTCAACTGGTATCTTTTATGTTGATATCCAACGAACTATATTTTCTTGTATGAAAACCTACTCTAGCCTGTAACTGAATATTGGGTCCTAATTACTATTACTGCGCAATTGCTCAGTCTTGATAAGTTTTGTTATAAAGCCAATCTTTCTTTTTGATTATGATTACGGGGAATAATTTTTTCTTTGAACCCCGTGCTTTTTTGGGGATGGGGGGGATTTTGAACTTGAATTTTGAAAAAAGTTTGGGGGGATCCCTGTCATGGATTCACGAGAGATCGGCGATTATGAACCCGAGGTGATTGGTTCAACGCAGCTCATTTTCCTGTTCAAAACGCATCTCTGGTTCAGAATCGCTGGTCACAATTTTTTAACTGTTAAGGTTCCAGTGTAGTGTCACCCACTCAGGGTTGGCACTGCAATTCTTGGAGGCACAAAATTGGCCCATGTGCCCAGGCTTGGTGTTCTGCGCCGCGTCAGTAGTTCTACTGCGGACGCTCAGTATTGTACAGCTTCCATTCCCCCCCCAATAAACACTACTTAATAACATTATATTTTTATATATCCCTTGGTTAAGGTGCACATAACTGGCTCATTTTCTTTTTGTAAACCATTTTCCCAAGCATGCCAGTGGATCCAGTGCACCTTGTAGCTAGGCTGGCTTCATTTGTGAAAGTCACTTGCATCCAACGTAATTGTTTTTCACCTTAGAAATAGACATTGGGGTAGATGTACAAAAATATTAATCGGACTCAAATCTGAACTGGTAGTAGACATTGCATGCTAGTTTTGTAGATGGAGATTCTATAGACTTTGGCTTTGTCAGTTTAGTCATATATTGTGGGGTAAGGAGAAATTCCAACTTTTCTTAATTTTGTAAAATTGCAAAATAGCAGGACGTACAAACTGTAAGGGTGGAACGCAAAGCCTGTTAATCTAGAGCCTATAATTAATGATGGTAAGCAGGAATAATGCAGTGCGCCTGTATTTCATAAATATTTAGGTCTTTAATATGGAGAGAACATCTCACTCGAAGAAAAAGAAGAATAAAAACACCAATTATTGTAATGTTTATTTTGCCAAGTGTTTTACAGGTTAATAAAAATGCATTAGACAATTTGACTTACAAAACAATGTAGCGGGAAAGTTTTAAGTACAATCAAGTCTTTGCTGCCACCCATTCTTAGACTTGGTACCATCATGAGCAAGATGTTGCAAGCGGTGAGATGAGATGGCAAATTTCAACATTGCTCGGGCACTACACCAATAAGCAATTGCCAATTAAGGTTTCAGATCTTGAAAAGCATGGTAGATGGTCTCGGACCTTAAACCTAAGATTTTACTTATGCCATCGAGGTTAAAATTATATTAGATGTGGCTTACATTCAAGGACAGTTTTCTTGTTTAGCTGACAGTTAATTAAACCCTTTCGTGGTTACAAATAAGGTGGCCGTGTTAGCAAAGATTATACACATCCACAAACAATTACACGCTACAAGATAAGATATGTAGCAAGTAGCGATGAACTCACCGGATTGTGGAATAAAATTGTTAGTTTTGTGTCAAGTAATAAAACCTTTTCACTATATATAATGCTAAATGGTTAAATAAAAACTTTTATTTACAATATACATCTATAAATCCCACAAAGTATTTGATAATGGACTCGAAAAATACAAACCCCTTGTGTAACCAGAAATTTGACAAGTGAACAAATCAATTACGTTACGAAGGCCCCTGCAGTATCTTGCTGTGGAGGACTGACGAGTCAATACAACCAAGCGGAACTGCTTGCGTGTGTGTAGGAGGGGACTGGTTGTGAGTTGTGTGCCAAGTTAACCTGAGCCTGGCGCATTTTGAGGCTAAGGGTGACGATATTTTTCTTATCGCCTCCATTGCCAGAACTTGTTACCTATTCACATGTCTACACTTGCTAGGGAAACCTATACATAAACTACAGTTCATTTGCAGTAAGGTTGAAGCTTGATATACAACCGCATGTTCTTGACAATAAGTATGCAAGCAAATGAACTGAAATTTACTTCTAATTTCATTCGGTAGACGTGTGATAGCTACAAGAAAATGGGGTGAAGACTGTAACTATAATTACAGGCTATGTTAAGACCAACCGTTGCCTTGGACAGCATTTCCTGCTTGTGAGGTTGGGAGGGGGGGGGGGGCTTCGTGTGAATGGAGACTGCACTATAAAGGAACAATGGCTGCTGACATCGAAGCAAAACACAGCCGCTGAAAGAGGCTTATATGACGGCGACCTTTCCGAATCTGACAACACACAGCTTACAAGCAATATATCTATACAACCTAGTTTATTTTTTATTTTTGATGGTTTAAGCTATTAAAGAAAATGGAGATTGTAAATTACTACTTAATCTAGCTTCATGAAAATTTGACTTTTGTGAGTAATTTGAGGATGGATTTTTCAACTGACCAGTCGCCCAAAAATTACTGGACAGAATTTGGACTTCGAAAAAAAACTGTCCCTATATATAATGTACATTATTAACTTACTATTAGCTATATACATTGCAGGAGTCACACTTAGGGCCCCAACAAACATTTTATTATAACCTGGCGATCTGCAACTGCATTGTCAGCCTTAAAGATGTTAAACCAAACCCTATCCACCGTTAACCACGCGTTGAGTGGTTACCACTATACACCTTAAACAACTAGCTAAATCTGTCCGAATGGCCATGTATTTTGATGAGTATTTGGCTGTTCTATGGCAGATTACACTTCAGGAGTCTGGGAGAAGATAACGTTGCAGCTACATCACGTGTCATTAAGCTACACTTTGTTGTCGAAGGAGTACTGTTTCCTTCGCCAAAATCCCCGGAAGAAGTTGAAGCGGAACTTGGAGCCTTCACCGTCTGAAAGAGAAAATATGGTTAACATTGTCAAACTCTTAAAAAAAAAGAAAAAAAAGAAAAAAAAAAAGCGATAGTAGTTTCCTCACACATTACTACTACTGCCATGTTCTTTAGTTAGCATATTTTATCATAGGTACACCTCACATTAACAGTTATAGCTGCACTATCTACAAGTTTATATAAACCGAAACCAATATTAATATGCAAAGGACATGGAGATTTACTTCACCAATGAAAGCAGAGATAAACCAAAGACACTATACTGTATCTGATAAGTATAGTTATACACAAGTTGACAAACGGAGAAATAACTGATGAATCTCGATACGAAATCGTGAATGAAAAGCCACCACCGCTTTAAATATCCGCTGCAGACGTCGCCAGCGGACAACAGGCAAGAGTTCACGCCCCGAGAGATGGTGCTTGGTCGTATTCATTGCTCCCATATGGTACACATCAGAACTCAAGATTCGCCATGTCAAATGATTGATCTAAGATCAAGTATCGATAGGAAAACTTGCATACATTAAGTCACGCTGCTACACATTCATTATGTATGGAAAGATTAATGCAGTGTTTTGGAAGCTATAATCGAAGCTAGATTTTCTCCCTTTCCCTCCTCCTACCCTTCTATAAGCTCTGGTAAAAAATAAGAGTGAATTATGTCCTCAACATTCACGCAAGCGCACTGTATTGTAGAATGACGTTGGCGTGATGCTAATCGTACAATGAAGGCTGTGGCTGGCAGCTACACCCTAACATCAGGAAGTCTGCTTGACACACAACCAGTCTCCAAATGGGTTACGCAAAAATATCCACCGGCCCTGTCTGCTTGGCCACGTCTCTAGATCTCGCCTGCACAAGTATCCACAGCCATACGGGAATGTTTCCGTAATCTGGGTAAAAATAACCGTTGTTAAATATAATTAATAAAGCCTAAATAACCAGAGATGGCTGTCACGATAGCTCTGGGTTTTATGTAGAATGTAACTAGAGCGAAAAGTTAAAATATTTGTTAAAGTAAATCACTGAAATCCATGAAAAACGACATCTAAAACTTCTTGCTAAATACGATAAACTAACATGAATTTCGTTCCGTACTGATAAACACCGCACATTAGATGCGCGCCTCACAAGTAAAATTGAATAAAAAAAACCTTTGGCCAAATATGGTCCCCTACAACCAAAGTGGTATGTCGACCAGTTCAAAAACACACTCGCACCTGTGCTCAAGAGCGTCGCTTTTCTCATGTTAAACTAGCCCAATGGATATAGTGTATGCTGAGGGTTAGGAAAGTTGGCGCTCTCACGGCTGGCACCTCGGCATAGTAGGGATGAACATCTGGTGCCTGATACACTTCGTAGTACGTCTTCCTTGTCAGCCGTTTTTTTTTCTTTGACAATCTTATATTCTCTCTTACTCAGCAACACCCATAAGCGTAGTGACGTAATGCTGCACAGAAATCATGTACCCATCCTCTTCCGCTATTCTAGTACGGTCGCATCAAAAGATGCCTTTCTCATGACTATCTCACCCTTCCACTATTTCTAGCTGAGAAAATAAAATAAAAAGTCAGTCAATAGTAAAAGGGTGACCGTCTCCAGGTAGCGAGACGGCCATCAACCAACTCTAGAACTACTATGGGCGACCTTCGGAACACACAGACGCACGCAACTCACTCACTCACTCACTCACTCACTCACACACACACACAACACACACACACACACTCACTCACTCACTCACTCACTCACTCACACTCACTCACTCACTCACTCACACTCACACACACAACACGCACACACACACACACACACACACTCACTCATCACTCACTCACTCACTCACTCACTCACTCACTCACCACTCACTCACTCACTCACTCACTCACTCACTCACCACTCCTACTCACTCACTCACTCACTCACTCACTCTCTCTCTCTCTTCTCTCTCTCTCACACACACACACAACACACACAGACGCACACACAGACGCGCGCGCGTACACAACAGGTGGAAGACTTTACAAATACTATTGCTCTGCTTTATTTTGACCTTCGTGAAGGCTACAGCTTTTCTACGGCCCATCTGTGGAGGTAGCACGTCACTCGAGGCC